TAATGCACATTAAAGACTTTGTTCCTTTTTTTATCTTTTCTCTGCTCTAGACATCTAATTTAACCTGCGCTTGAGTGCATCCATGGATATCTAATCTCTTATGTGGGTAAATAACTTCTCCCATTGAAAATTACCATATAGGCCAGGGGTGCCCAACCCTGCTCCTGCCGATCGACTGTCCTGCACAGTTCATCTCCAACCCTAATCAAACACATCTGCCTTTAATTTTCACGTGAACCTGAAGACCTTAATTGGTTGCTTTCAGGTGTGTTTTGATTAGGGTTGTAGATAACTGTGTAGGACAGTCGATCGGCAGGAGCAGGAGGGTGTGGGGCTACTGCCTGAATATAGGCTCTTGAGAGAGGAACTGAGACTTTGTTCTGCATCAGATTCATTGAATACAGCAGCTGCAGAGGGCATTTGCATTTTCACAGGGAGAGCCTGATCTCTACATTACTGGGTTGTTTGCAATGATAATCACAGGTTCATTTTCAGTAATGACAGCATGCTGTGACGGAAACCAATCTCAAAATGTTCTGTGAGATTCAAACTTTTTTTATTAACTGCCATTACCTGACGTTAATGGGAACAAATGCAGTCAGAATGGGTTTATATGATATTTACAGTTGTTTAAGTTGGTGACAGGGATTGATATATTTAAAAAAGCAAGTAAAATAGGGATGGAGGAGACAGCCCTATTGTTTCCATTTGTCAGTTTGCATAGGTAATTGGCCCATTAAGGCTCTTCCCCGAGCCCAGCGGGCAGCGTCACGCAGAGTTGGCGTGACAGCACCGCCTCTCTCACTCGTACTCTTTTGTTTATGTAATTCCGAGCCTGTCATCTCATTGAGCCAGTCTTCCATGGGTGCTCGCACTAACGTGCACTTTGGCACAACATAGCTGCAGTGTGGCCCCATTCTGACACGCATGACCGTCTCTCTGTGCCTTATCACTACATTTTCTTCCTTTCTGCTTGATTTCTTTCTTACTTTCTTCACCTGTTTGCATGTCTATGTAGTCCATCACCATCAATAATCTTCTCATGCTCAATTACTGTGTCAATTGTTTAAACTATCTCGGTCTCAAAATATGGTCGATACTTTGCTGGAAACATCCGTTAACAACAGCTTAATTGTAGGATTTTTTTCTCTTTCTAATAAGAAAAAAAGAAAACACATTTGCACAAGAGGGTGGGCGGCTTTTATAAAAATCTTCGCAATCTGACAGAATATATTTACATTTGGTGACATTAAGGCATTAAACAACGCTGAGTATTTTTGGCAAATTATTCATTTCATTAAAGCAGGGCTGTGTTATTTTCCTTTGACATTTTTCATCTGATTGGCATGTTTCTCTTTTTCATTATGGGATGCACGGTCCCTCTCCCTTCCGTCTCAACAATGAGAGAAATGGCCAGGGGATTTGGCCGTTGTGCGGCTGCTATCTTCCACACCTCCGTCCATTGCTCCAAAAGCCCAGCTGCCTTTAATTAATTTTGTTATCTCCTCTTGTAAGTCCATGTGACCTTTTTACGCCACTGCTTTCCATAGAATTAAATAATTGAGAAGCTTTCAGAAGTTATTGACACTGTGAAGGGCATATTGAAGAGCATCTTGCTTCGAACAGAATTGGCATGCTGCTTTTTAAGACACTGACTCCAGAGTGCAAGGCAAATCACAACTTTTAGACCACAGTAAAGGTTGTCAAACTCTGAAGCAAGAATTTTTTTAGAGAGTTTTTTCCAAACTAATTTAAGTTATAGTGCTGGAATGACCTCAGAGTTGTTGAGGAACATTATGAGTTGGTTTGCGTTGAGATTGAGCCACTTTTCACTCGGTGCAGGCTGTGTTAGAGTGAAGGTGAGGGGTCTTCAATGCCTCATGTCAGAGACTATTACTTCTCTCACTGGCCTGTCACTTCCACTTTGCTTTGCATTTTCCTCGCCAGCCCTGGTCTTTCCAATGGACAGATGGAAGCTGGAAGGAGAGCGTCTGTACCAAATTGTATTTTCTGTGAAATAAAATGCATGACATATTTGCCATAATGAGAAAGTCGGTGCAGCGGGCGATAGCACCGGAAGAGAGGTGAATTCAAAAAGCATGTGTTTACACAGCGATGGCAAAGGCTTTCACTCTAGGGAATATTCACACTTAAGCAACCCATGGCTTTTTTTTTTCTTTCCACTTTCTCTCTTTCCATCTCGGTCACATCCCACTCTCACAGTCTGAAGTGCCGAAGGAGGAAACCAGGATGAATCTGAAGAGCCTGAATAGCCTTGACTGTTTTGCCATTGCAGTTGTCAGGTTGTCGCATGTCTAAGCGTTGCTGGCATCACAAAGCCAATAAGACGGTGGCAACACAATTGCAACATTTCTGTTTATTTGAGCACCTTTATCTTACAACTCTGATGCCATGGGGAAGTGGAGGCCAAGTGTTTAGCACTCCAAGCTGGATCAGTCAACAGAATTATCTTCATAAAGAGTATATTCCTTGAGGTTGCACTGCTGATGTGCATTGCATCTGCTTGTTAACATGTTTCATTTCTACTCCAATTGCATTTAAACAGATAATTACTGGGTCATTAAAGAGTAATGATGTCCATTGCACACTAATGTATGTCCTAAATACAACCCTAAATGAAAGAGCATATATCTTCCTAATCAAATCTGCTCACTGAATGTGTTTGTCACACTGCACAAGATTATTTTTAGTTAATTTAGTACCATTAGATGCTTAGCACAGATGGACAAAGCATGGCCTGTTTGCTTGTATGAAAGGACATCTATTAGAGCACTGTGAATGGAGATGGTAGGGAAAAAATCCCAGCTATCCTTTTTGAAATATAATAGTACCATGATACTATTATATACTATAATAGTAATAGTAGACATGTGGCATAGCTGCCAACTTTTGAGTTTAGCTTGGTGTGATAACAGGGTGGGTTTGAGTTGTTTTTGTTTTTTTTCTCTCGTCAAAACCGAATATGTTCATCAGTGGTTACAGTCTATATCAAGCAGGGACAATAGAGTCTCTGCAACGGCTATAGATTGAAGTGCGCACAGTGCGCGTCCGAGTGAATACTGCGTGAGCAACAAGAGAACACTGTTCAATATGTGTATGTGCAGCACATTGGACAACCTCGGTTGGGATTAATGGTGCTATATAATAAAATTGACATTGACTGTATCTATGCGACTGACAGCAGTGGCAACAAGTGCTCAGCTTGATTTCAAAAACAAAACATTTTAGCGCTAAACTCTTATTTAAGAGTGAACTAAATTAATGCTCTGCTAGTTAACTGGAGATGTTTTATTTGTATTAGGTACATCCGTGCCTCAATGATTCCAAAAGTGGTGGTTACAAAATGACTAATGACCAAACCTGGTGGGGTAATTTATTCCTGTGATGGCAAAGCAGCTTCAGCATCATTACTCCAGTCTTCAGTGTGTCACATGATTTTTCAGAAATCATTATAATATGCTGATTTGATGTTCAAGAAACATTTATTATAATTATCAATGTTTTAACCCGTTGTGCCCATTTCTTTCAGCATTCTTTCTTTGATGAATAGAAAGTTCAAAATAACAGAATTTATTTTAAATCTTTTGTAAAATCATAAATGACTTTACTGTCAATTTTGATCAATTTAATGTATCCTCACTGAATAAAAGTCCCAAAAAATTCTTACTGACCCCAAACTTTTGAATGGAAGTGTATAATGTTACAAAAGAATTGGTATTTAGACATTATTACTGTTTGGTTACAGTTTGCAGTTTGGTTACCAACAAAAATATATTCTTTCAAAATGTATTTTATGTTCCACAAAAGAAAGTCATACAGCTTTGAAAGTACAAACTATGCCCAAAATATGAAATTATTTTTATTTTTAAGAAATTATATTGAAAAAGAAACTTCTAAATAAGAAACTAAAACTGTCAGTAGGTGGGGGTAAATGTCTAAATTAGAGGTCGACCGATTCATCGGTTTTGCTGATATATCGGTACCGATAGTTGATTGGTGGAACTATCGTTATCGGCAAAAATCCACACCGATAGATTTCCCAGGTTGTGTCTGTTGCTGGAGTATCTGAGAAGTGCATGCGGTCATTACAAAGCATGAGAGTGCGCAGAAGAGACTGCTGGTATTATACACAGCGAGAGCGGCCTCTAGAGGACAAATAACAAACTATCACTGGCTGAGTTGTTTACGCTAACATGTGAGGCTGCGCGCAACAGAGAGAGAACATGCAGCACAGAGAGTGCGTACACTTCAGATGCGCGTATAAAACACACACAGCGAAACCGTATGAATACAGAACACTAAAGTACATATTGCCATGTCATTATAAAGTAATTAATTTATTGACTAGACACTGCATTAGCAGAGAAATATCAGCAGTATGTTTGCTGTCGTGTCTGAGAGGAATAACATTAACGCTACCTCAAGCGATATCAACGGTTGAGCACCGTCTCTCCCTTGCAGTCCTTTTTACGAGGCACCTGAAACATTTAATCTGGAAATTGCCTTGTAAAGAAGACCTTCATGTTCAATTATGTCTGTGACATCTGTTATTACAGCTAATTCCCGACACCTGCGCCCGCATTTTCAATATGCTTTTCAGCTCATAATTGAGCGAGGCCACCATTAATCTCCATCAGTCCATTTCCATGAGGAACCAAGCCGTCTCTCTTGTTCCAGATTAGCCTTTAATCAGGCCTGCTTAGCCCAAGGGCATGGAGGCCCAGACATTGAACAGAGCAGCAGGGGGACCCCCTTTTCAGTTCAAGACTACAGTTTCAGTTAGCTTTGCGCTCCTTAACTTAGTGGGTGGCTCACGTTAATAAAATAGGGGTGAGACTTGGAGCCTGTCCTGGATTGCAGACCATCGAGAAGGTTATACCACCTCAATAGACCACACTTAATGAACTGAATTTGAGTTGATCATCCATTTATTCATTCGACCCCATCCACATGCGTTTTGCCCTCATTAGTGGATAATCCAGTTTGGATTTATAAATGTATGCCTTGCTTTGATCAGACCACTTATCTTTCCAGCTTTCTTTTTTTTTTGATTCTGGAAATTTATGGGAAAATGGAATTACAGGCAGTTTTGTACTTCTGATCAAGGATAATTAAGCGATGATTATATCTTGTAGAGTGAAACTGGCTTAACCAAGACCACAATTAGGAGTCAGGCAACCCGAGAGTATCTAAGGGTTTGAGCTTGCCAACTGTGCCAGTGTGTGTCCTACTTAATTCAGAGGCAGAAATCTGTGCCACACATGGTGCCATCATCTAGGCTAGATTACTTTGAGCTGCTTCCAGAATGTGTTGATCACTATCAGGAGTCGATTGTGCAATCTAATAAACGTGTCTTGATCTTCTCAGTGGCCCAAATTAACTTGTACACAATCCAGAATCCATCAAAATGCTTCACTCAGATTCATTTGATAAAGACACTGCGCAAAAGATTTAGCTTTATTATGAAATCATGTAACACTGACTATATGGTTATCACTTGTAGCATAGACTTTGTTTCTTTTAAATGGGTTCAAATATTTAAGTAAAAATTTAAATTAACCCCAAGATGGATAAAAATTCTGTCATCATTCTGACACTGTGACAGATTGGTGTTCAAAACCCAATTAATTTATTTATGCACAAATCATCTGTTGTTTCCCCATATAATGTAACTCTATTATTAATATTTTGAGACTGACATTAAGGCTATTTCTAAATTCCAAGACTGCATAGAATGAATGGACATGCATTCTCGTGTTGACCGGTCATGCCAGGCTACCTTGAAAGAACGTACTCTGAAGGACACAGAACTCATCCTTGTGAGAATTGAGATGTGTTGTGATCGTGTTGCTCAACTTAGCGTTCAGCGCAAATAATGCAGTTGGACAGCACCATCCAACAGCATAACCTATTCAAATATTGAATTACATGATTGTTTTTATTTTATTTATTTTATTTCACATGAGTATTTGTGTAAATTAATATGTATAATTGTTACTCTGTCAATGTTAAGATTCATTAAAATATGCCAAATAAAAAGTATGACAGGCTTTCTCTAGGTATTAGAACTTTATTAAAATGATACCTAATAAAACGACAAATGTATACTTTCACGAGCCGTCACGTGCAGGCTTTCAGCGGGAATCTCATAAGTGAGAACAAGAAAAGTTTAAAGCTTACAAGCGACCGTACGTTATATACGTATTTCAATGATTTTTGAGATTTGTAAGGGTTTTATTCTCTCAAGTCTGCACTCAATGTATCCTATCAAGAACACACCCGGGGTACTTTCATGCACCCTCTGTACTTGGGTTTTTGAGTATTGGAACTGGTTTTGGACGTTTGATGATGTAGTACGCAAACACAAGGGCTTAAGAAAGCATTTTGAGAAAAGGCTTGAATGTCATCGCAGGGTTATGGCATCAGTCTGTTGATCTTTCTTTTGTAGACTGCTCATCTACGGCCAGTACTGTAGCCATATGGAGAATGCCCAGAAGACACTGGATGAGCTAATTGCCACACGGGAAGATGTCAAGTGTAAAGTGGAGGTAGGCTCTTACTATAATCAGACTCCTCAGTTGATAAAGTATATGGTACACAATCAGTAGAAGTGCTTGAAATTTGTAAAATCAGTCTAATATACATTTTAATGGTATTTTGATTTTTCATGTATGCAGTGTCATCTATACTGTGTATTTACTATGTGTGTGTGTGTGTGTGTGTGTACGCTCACCTAAAGGATTATTTAGAACACATGTTCAATTTCTCATTATTGCAATTATTTAATCAACCAATCACATGACAGTTGCTTCAATGCATTTAGGGTCGAGTCGAGCTGAGCTGGTACTGTGTAGTGGAAAAACACCATTAGTATGGTGCTCCTAATAATCCTTTAGGTATATATATATATATATATATATATAAAATTATGACTAAATTAAATTTTATGGGGTGAGCTATCACTTTGTGAAAAAAATAATAATGCTCAATCTTCTAAACAACATGCAGATTTCACTCTCTCAGTTAAAATGTATCATCAGCCAGTTAAATGCGCTGAGGCAGAGACACTGCCTCAAAGAGACTCTTTTAACAGCTCTTTTCTCCCAGAGACCGCTCCAGTGGTCAGCCCCAGCACAGTGTTTGCTCTCGGCAGACTGCTGTTGACAGTTTTGGGGCATGAACTAATTTTACTCTGTGCTAATGCTACTCAAGATGAAGGACTACAGGGATGTTTTTGTGCCTGCCAATCTGTGGCAGTGTAGGTTACTTTAATGACTTCAAAAATAAATACTGGCGAGAGAAGCCATTATTTCCAGGCGGGATTAAAGAAGATTACAGTTGAAATTACCACAACCACAGTTGTGGACACACTTGTTGACAAATTCACATAATTATCATTGTTATCTCACACACAAGAAGGGCTCTGTAATCTAGTACAGTACATTCAGAGCGCAGTTACGAGACCTCGTGGAAAGAGACAAGAGCCTCTTGTAATGGATTAGTCAGAGATCCTTCATCATGAGGGAAGTCGAGTCACTGATAGTCATAGAGATGATGAACCTCTTCCTCAGTCCATTCTGAATGTCAAGCGTGACATTTGAGTCTGTCCTCCTTGCTTACTTGTCACATAAGAACAGGGGGATTAAAAATGAAGAGATTGACGCATAAACTGAAGATGAAAAATCCACAGTGTAGAGGAAAAGCATCTGGTTTACAGTTTATACACTGGAGACAACATGAAAAACTTTTTTTTTTTTTTTGTTAAATTACTGTTTCTGATCTTATTGTGCATTATTATTTACTGTTGAAGCCTGTTTCCACCTCTGAGTAGAAAAAAGGTAATTGTGTTTAATAAATTAAGTAGTCACATTGTGAGATATACATTTGTAATTATGAAAATGTCAAGTTGCAGGTGTGAGATGTAAAATTCACATTTTTAATTTATTTGTTTAGTGTGAAAACAGGTTTACATGGTATACACTGTTTCAAAGAAATAAATTACCATAACCATTAATACAATTTGGGAATTTTTTTTTAACCAATAACCTCATTGTCTAACATGTTTCAACTCCAATGATTTTTCCATGATCCAATGAAATCCTAATCACTAAAAAGTTTGCCTTGGTTTACATTATTTTTCACCATAATTTTTTTTCTACTCTAAAATATGCCACATTCTTGAAGGCCGTCTTCAGTGATTGTCAGTTTAAAATAATTTGTTTGTGGTCCATATTTGTTATGAGAGTTTCCTTTTTTTTAAAAACTGCTCACCTGTTGCAATAATCCTCGTTTACAGGAGTGTACCATGAAGGTCCAGGAGGGAAAGTTCAAACTGCAAGATCTTCTGGTTGTCCCCATGCAGAGGGTCCTGAAATACCACCTTCTGCTTAAGGTGAGGCCCACTACTCATCATCAACAATATTGAGCTCATCTCTCACTAAGAGAGTTTAAGAAAAAATAAGGAACCTGTTCAACTTATTCTGGTTTGAGGTTTGAAAGCTTCTCTGCTGCACAGCACCTCCCGCAAACCTCAAAACCTTATAAAACATTTAGATCGTTTTACCCCATCCAACAAGACCCATGTGGCTCTCCACTCTGCCCAGCCACTGCTAATAGAGATCATGTATAAAACAGGAAGCCCTGCATGATACAAACCATCATTAATTCACAACACACATTAATAATGGATACGGAGAATGTGACGTGACAGAAGGGCAGGATATAGGGAAGTGAGGACTGAGGGGGGTGGATACATTGACACTGTTTAAGGGCCTGTTGTCATATCGCGTCTTTTGCGCGCTCGAGTTTGTTATTTCAAATGTAGGCGCGTTGTAGGTTGTGGTGCGACTCTGTCGTTTTTTCCAAGCGTGTACGCTCCGCAACAAGATATGTTTCCGTCTATGTGCGAGTGTATGTGTACAGTATGTGAGGGACAGAAAGAAAGCGTGCTTTCTATTGATAATAAAAGGTAATTTAGTGGGAAAGACACGGAAATAGTCAAATATAACCAAGATGTCTAATCATGAGTTTCATCCCTTTACCATAAAAAGAGCCGGTCTGTATGTGTGACTTATTATTGTGTTGTGTTTCCGCAGGAGTTAGTAAGTCACTCTATGGACCGTCCGGAGAGGCAGCAGCTTAAAGAAGCACTAGAAGCCATGCAGGTGTGAACTCTGATAACACCCTCATATACACAATACATGTTTAAATATAAGGATCTCCGGGACTTTGTATTTTGGGGGACGAGTGGCTTGGGAGTTTTTATCTAAGTGTTTTACCTTTGTCTATTTATCTGTCTTCGAAGGACCTGGCCATGTACATCAATGAGGTGAAGAGAGACAATGAAACCCTGAAGAAAATAAGTGAATTTCAGAGCTCAATAGAAAATCTAGTAAGTTTTCATGAAGTTGTGTGATACTCTGGCATAATCAATGCAGAAAGAGTGCACACGTTTAAAGTTTGGCCAGTAAGAATTCATTTTATGACCCTGTTTGATTAAAATATGGGCCTTATCTACCTGTGCATTATATTTTTCATGTGTATTTCTGTCCAGTTAATATATCATGCATATTCAGTTGCCAACCTACTGTCTGGGAACATCACAGCTAGTATCCATACTGAGAACATCACAGCTAGTATCAGAATCTTGTAATTGACTTGAAGCTAATTCATAATGCCTTTACTTGTAGCTTTTATGAGGATTGCAACCCCTCTGTTGTGTCCTTTGCAATACTTATGATGTCTGAGGTCATGCGCATTTCAGCATGCTGGCCAATTCCTCTTTATCCCCAAACATTTAGTTGTTTACAAGCCTCCACCTGCCCCCCGTCTGTCACTTCTGTTCAGTAAAATAAATCCTGAAAGCCTCCAGGCCACAAGCACAGAACATGTTTGGGACTGTTTAAAGGGAATGAAATCAGTGTATCCTTCCCCAGTAGATAATGTAGGAGTTAGTGTATCAGCTCTGGTTTATTTATGTGAGGGTCTGTTCTGCAGATGATGCCTGCAGCTATACATCAATGAGCCAATGAGGCATGACACTTACAGACAAAATACATTCATGGGTTTTGCCATGCCTTTAATAGCTCCTAATATAACAGCAACTGTAGCATTACTGTAGTACCTTTTTATCTATTTAACTCCTTAAGATATTATTCATATGTTACAGTATATGTATATAGGATATTTTTCCAACAAAGACATTTTTTTTTTTTTTTACATGAGACATTTTGAAAACGTACAAAGATCGAAAGAACAAGCACTGTCATTCCAGACTGATAGAAATGTTTTACATTCATCAGTGACTGATTCACAAAAAAAAATCTGCAAACAAAACTGACATGCAAAAATGTTTCTAAACCAAAACCTTTGACATGCTTACAAAACGAAAAGTTTTTTTGTGAAAGGTTTTTAGAGATATCTGTTTGGCAGACAGGCAGGCAATATTTGAGAAATCTGTCATTACTTTTGCAATTCCATCTGAATAAGATAAGATGCTGAACTCATTGCCTTTAACTTGTATTTAACCTGTAATATTCCATACAGGAACAAGTGATGCTTGGATGTATGTCACAAAGTAATGTTTGAAATTCCTCAAGCCTTTATGTCAATATAAATGTATTGTGTGTGTGTGCCCATGTAATTCACAGCAGGTGAAACTAGAGGAGTACGGTAGGCCAAAGATAGACGGAGAGCTTAAAGTGTGCTCTATAGTTAACCGGACCAAACAAGACAGGTACGACTGCACCTTCATTATATGTTTTCATATGCTATAAAACAGATTGTAATATTTTTTTTTCCTGTTTTCTTTACCTAGATACATCTTCCTATTTGATAAAGTTGTGATTGTTTGCAAGAGAAAAGGCTATAACTATGAGTTAAAAGAGATCATTGAACTTCACTTTTATAAGATGTCAGATGACCCCATGAATAACCGTGATATGAAAAAGGTGAGAGACATTTGATTAACCAGCTATCGGGCCTGTTTCAGAATAAATATACCTGCCATAGTTGATTACGGTAGTGATCTTAATGTTTTGTGTGTTAAAATTGCAAAGGGATGATCTGATCGTTTGCTTGGTGAATAACACAGTTTGATTGCGTTCATTAAAGCATGATGCTCATAATTTTAACCAATCAAAGACGATGTACTGCCCTCTTCAATGCTCAAGCTTGTGTGGAAATGCAGAGAAGCTGAGTCTAACAATCAGGAATTTTTGCATGTATGTGAGAATGCATGTGTAACAGGGTGTCTCTCTCTTTCTCTTTCTCTTTCTCTCGTTCCCTCTCCGCCTTCAATCTCTTTGCATGCTTACCAGTCGAGTGGAAAAATGGTAAGCTGAATGCTCATGTTCTGTAAGCATTGAGGTGCTGTGATTTATGCCTTTTAATTCTGTGATTTTGTGATTTGTTTCCTGTCATCTCAAGAGATCAACAGCAGCTTAATGCTGCCAGAATTGAATCAGCTGTTTACAAATCAATTTGATTTAGATGTGCTGCAGAATCCATTGATGCAAGTCAAAATGAATCCACATCTATTAGCTTTGTAAATATATGCTTGTCTAGCTAAACTAAATTTACTTTTATTAGATGTACACTGTTGTTTGGGGTCACTAAGATTTTAAAAAAAAAATAATAATAATAATAATAATAATAATACTTTTTTCATTGCTTATGCATTGTTACAGAATTCAAATAATTACTGTTCTTTTGAACTTTCTATTCATTAAAAAATCCTGAAAAAAAAGTTTTAAACTATAATAATACTATTACTATGATAATAGCATGAAATGTAAATTCAGCATCAAATCAGCATAAAATGATTTCTGATGGACCATTTGACACTGAAGACTGGAGTAATGATGCTGAAAATTCTGCTTTGCCAAATTTCATTTTAAAAGGTTAAAATTAGGGCTGTCAAGGGATTCTTTTTTTACCTAATTACTCGATACATTTTTTATTTTGTAATCACACATCAAATTTGTCTGAGAAAAGCTTCAAATAGACATTAAAGTAGGAGCTTTAGGGGGGAAAATGTACAACATAGAATTGGGGCCATGGGGTGAGTTAATTATGACAGATTATTCTTTTTTGGGTAAACTATACCTGTAATATATATATTTTATATATAGTGTCATTCATTAGATTCGTTCCAAACGGCTGATTCATTCAGGAATTAAGCAAATGGCTGCATCCCAAATCACATCCCAAATTCATTACTATACAGTAGGCAAAGTCTGTATGTGACTAAAGTATGTCCAAATTCACAGCACTCCTAAAACAGTTGGCAAAAATTACCAAAAAAAAAAAAAAAAGTGGATTCATTTAATCCAAAGAAATTAAACACTGTGTGTTTCTGGGAGAGACACAGCAGTTCTGCTCTGGCTTTATAGATGATATTTTTGTTGGCAAAAAAAAATTGAGCAAATAAGGGAGACAAAATTGGGTCTAAAATATTTACACAATATGAATATAATATTAACTTCTTATTTATTTAACTGTTGTATATAATCAATATCACATCATGCAGTGAGTTTTTTAATCATGTCAGTCACCTATCAACTGTATGAAATGTAAGATACAGGTCAGTGGTGCATTAAATGCATTTAAATAATTTTTAACACATTATTTTTTCAGCATAACTAATTAATTAAATGAATGCGTTAAATCAGAAGCCCTAATTCAAATATATTTTTTTATCAAATCAATGTAGCCTTGCTGAGCAAAAGACCTCTATAAAAAACATTCAAAAATCTTACTGACCCCAAACTGTAGTGTAAATGCAGTTAAAACAATTGATGACTCATCCTGCATTACAAAGATTTTTATCCAAAGAATTCTTTTTTCTAGAATGAGAATGTGGGTCCCACTAATTCTTCTCAAAAACAAAAAAGGAAACAAGCTAGAATGTCCCGCCCAAACATCTTGTTTCAATAGGAAAATTGTCAATACAGAAAAAGAATAAAAAGTGAATTGGGCCTTTAAAAATGTGTTTTTAGCATGAGATTCAATGGAACAGCCAAAGACACGTTTACATAGACAATTAAAATGATTATTATTATTTTTTTAAACAGTGCAGGCGGATATGTGAACAATCTGAAAACATTTTCAATTCATTGCTGCATTCTCTCTATATCTGTCCACCATCCCTCCCTCCATAAACCATCTTTTTTCCACCCATAGTGGTCCTATGGCTTCTACCTGATCCATCTGCAGGGGAAACAGGGCTTCCAGTTCTTCTGCAAGACAGAAGATACCAAGCGCAAGTGGATGGAGCAGTTTGAAATGGCCATGTATGTTAGATCCGCAGTGTCAAAATTACAAAGGATTTTTTGATCACCGTATCACGTGCAATTATTTATCCACACAGGTCAAACATCAAACCCGAAAGAGCCACTGCCAACCAGCACAACTTCCAAATGCACACGTTTGAAAAGAACACCAACTGCAGAGCCTGTAAAATGCTGCTGAGGTGAGGGCTCTCTCACACAACCGCCATTCTCGCTGAATTACAGAGGCAAGCGCAGTGAACTGAGACGGGCTTCGACCCATGTTGCATACTAGGCTACTAGTTTGACCTGTATTACATGAGCTGCTTCACTGATTGGCTGTATTGACTCGTGTGAAATCATACTGCACTGACCTAAATTTGCCACACTGCAGTGCAGGTCAGTGTGCACACTGGCTGCTAATTATAATGGATCCATGTTTCAATTTGTGTGCAAACTGGCCTGCATTTTGTTTGGGTGTTGAATGTCGCCGCTTAGTTGTACTGACATATGAAGTCACGATGGGTGACTGATTGTTGGGGCTGTATTAATGCACAAGTTGGCTTCCAAAGCCAAGTGTCACTATTACAATGGCTCATGCCTTGAATTTGAACAAGCTTTTAAGGATTACATTTCAGTATGTGGCACACTGTTTGCGCTACAGACATGAAGGAAGGATACAAGCAATGAAATAAATGAATTGCACAAAAAAAGCATAGAATTGCATTAAAGTCAAGACCAGAACATCATAGACTTTAGATGCTACAGAGTACAGACACGATTTGGTTTTCAAATATGATATTTACTGTGGGCCTGCTTTTCCATACCAAGTGATGCATCTGATGCATCATCACCAATGGCATGCATCATTTTGAGATAAAATGCAAGACTGAAAACTATTTCAAATGTAGCGCGTCTACCTTCTAATTTTTAAAGCTGCAGTCAGCAAGTCTGGCAGATTGAGTGGACTTGAGTGGCCCCTCCCCACTATCAACGAATACCCTCCCACAGAGTTTGTGCTCGTCAGTGCGTGTGCAACAGCTTTTCTGTGAACGCGCCCGTCTCATCAGCATCCATCAACATTCTTCAAAAAAGCTGAACTTTATTCCTTCACCACACGGATTTCAGTGCTAACAAAGCTAATGAACCTGCCCAACAAGTGCTAACGTAAGCTATCCATACCAACACATTTGGGCAAACATAGGCTACTTAGATTACTAATGTAACACAAATACATAAAGTAACTGGTTGATAAAGGACAATTACCTGTCTAGAAGAAATGTTCCAAGCTCTGCATCCAGCTTGAACCCAATTAAATCAAGTATATCTCCACCTTTTAAAATGCCGATCCGATTGTAACTTGCGCGAGGGGTGACGGCAGCTTTAACAGGAGATTTAAAGATTCAAAGAATAAATAGGATATTATTGAACTGTTATTAAATTAAATATGATTATTACATTATATTTATTCAAAGCATATTATATTTTATTAACAGCAGAGTAGACAATCATGTGTTCCCAGGTTCGTAGGATCACAAAACTCACTCGTTCACCGTGAATAAATCGACATCCGAAGGCATGAGTTTTATCATTAAGATGAAATGCAAATTTATCATTACAGACATGAATTTCTCTAATGTCCTCTGGGATATCTTGTCCCTTCCAAATAGGGCTTTGGGCAGCATGGACTAAACTCCTATTAGGACAGTAATTGTTTCTTATGTGGACAAAAACAAAGTGGTTTTGAATCTGGTAGTCTTGGTGGTGGGCTCTTTTGACTTGGGCCAGTAAGCAACAACCTAGAAACCACCTTGAACAACCTAACAATTGCTTAGCAGTGCCTTAGCAACTACTCACAGCATCTTAGCAACATGGTTCTAAGTTATGCGTGGGTGACCGTGAGCATGACTCAAAATCAAAACAAATTCTTGTTATTGTGTTTGGATGAGTTTAGTAGGACCTCACAAAATGAAGACATTTTATTGTATTGTATTTACAATTCTCGTTTGTCAGAGCCCTTGCTGCTTTCAGACACTTTGGCATCAGTATGTCTCTTACTTTTATTTGATCATGTTTTCTTTAGGGGTATTTTCTACCAGGGATACTACTGTCCACGCTGTGGGACCGGCGTCCATAAGGAGTGCCTAGAGGTCATTACCATCTGCAAAATAAGTAAGTCTCTCACAGAAAGCAGAAACCACATGTACATCAAGTCTGCCCTAATTAAAGAGAACAAACCACTGACCATGCTCTCTCTCTCTCTCTCTCTCTCTCTCTCTCTCATTATTATTTCAGGTCCCCATGATTCGGTGAGTTTTTAGTGGCCTGAACTGTTAAACTTCCATCTCTCAGATTACTCTAATGTCTAATGAATTAATCATCCACTCTCGCTGACTTTTACCAAACTTCACTACTTTATTTAATCTTAAAGTTTCTCCTCAATTTTGAAAAACACAGCCTAAAGATGCCTAATATACTTAAATTAAAATCATATTATTCTTTGAAGTCCATTAAATCATAAATTCCCTTCTGTCTATTGCAGGAGCCAGGGCTTCCACAATCAGGTAAGAATATAAGTAAAGTGTGTCTGAGATACTAATGCTGTTATGTAAATTTGAAAAATGTAGATACGGCGCACAGCTTCAGGCTCTTAAACTGAAATGGACCAGATTTAGCTCTCTGCTGACATCTAGTGTATATTACATGCATGCAATAAACATAGGGTATGGGTGTGTTCTAAGAATATAAATTATAAGGGTCCATGTACTTTGTTCTTGCAGTTCTAATAAGATTTTTTTTCTTTTTAATTGTGTTCTTAAGGTCCAAAGATGGTAGCCATCAAAAATTACAATGGTACCCCTGCCCTGCCAGGCAAGATGCCACTCTGCTTTCAGACAGGAGAAGTCATTGAGCTCCTGAAGGGAGATCCAGACACATCATGGTGGGAGGTATGATATTTTAAAATGAAACATTTGCCATGTTTACAGTGATGACCTGTTCTATGGTCCAGATTTTACTACCCTACCCGTTTTTCTACCTTAAACGAATCATAATAGAGATACAACCTGAATTGGTCCAACCAAATCAGAAATACAATTTCTTAACGGGTTAGAGACCTTTTAAGTCACAAGTGACTCGGGTGTTAAGGAACATGGAAGAACCTAGCCATGCACTCTGTATTTTCAAACATTTGTGGAAAAAGGGGTCATACTGTAAGTGTTATTATTGAAATATTGAAGCATTTAGGAACAGCAGCCACTCAGTCATAAAGCAGAACACCACGCAAAGTCACAGAGCAGGGTCACTGTTTTGACGCGCATGGTGTGTAAAAGTTGCCAATGCTCTGCTGATTCAAAAGCTAAAGAGGTCCAAACTTACACTGCCATGAATGTCAGCACAAACACTGCAGTGGGAGCTTCTTAGAATGGGTGTCAATGGCCGAGCAGCTGCATGCAAGCCTCACATCACCAAGTACAATGCCAAGCATTGGATGGAGTGGTGTAAAATCACCCTTCTCTGTTTGGCAGTCTGATGGGCGGGTTTGGGTTTGCCAGGAGAATGTTACCTGCCTGACTGTATTGTTTCTATTGTTAAGTTTGGTGGTGGAGGGATAATGATATGGGGCTGTTCTTCAGGGGAAACCTTCCATTGTAGGGTAAATATAATTGAGGCGTACCAAGCTGTGATTTCAACTTTGTGGGAAAATTGTGGGAAGGCTCTTTTCTATTCCAACATGACGGTGTCCCTGTGCACAAGGTCCATAAAGACATGGTTGGACGAGTTTGGTGTGGAAGAACTTGACTGGCTTAGCCTCAACCCCATCAAACACCTTTGATATAAACTGAAACGGAGATTGCGAGCCTGACCTTCTCGTCCAAAACACCAGTGCCTGACCTACACACATTCTAGATGAATGGGGAAAAAATTCCTGAAGAAACACTCCAAAATCTTGTGGAAAGCCTTCCCAGAAGAGTGGAAGCTATTGTAGCTACAAAGAAGTGGACCAACTCCATATTACAGTCGATGTATTTAGAATGTGGTGCCACTGTAAAGTCCCTGTTGGTGTAATGGGCTGGTTTCCCAATACTTTTGTCCATATACTGTTTTTATGGCCAGTAAAAACAGTTCACATACCATTGGCATTAATTTTGGACCCTGTCATACCTAATATAGTTTGAGTTCTTTAAACTGCTGTCTCATTTTGGGAGGCTTAAAGTCCTAAATTCATTCATCTTTACCTGTCATTCGTTGCATTTTTCTCTAAGGGCAAGCTCATCCAAACCCAAAAGACTGGCTTCTTCCCCAGTTCCAGTGTGAAACCATGTCTTGACCCTAAGGTACAGATTCATTAAAACAAAATCGAATCATTTTAACATTTACATTTTCTTAAATTATTCCTAATATTTTTTTCTTTCTCTTAAATATATGTACTATATACTAGAATTATTAGACAATGTTCTATACTATTAGAAGAACACTGAACAATGAAACCAGCCCCTGTGGTCTTTTATAATGTTTTGATGGTTTTCTTCTCTACAGCCTTTCCAGTCATTTTCCAGCCGTCAGTCCTCCAGAGAAACAGATTACTACGTTTATCCCTGGTATTTCATCCTGTTTGCGAACATATTGATTTGTCCATTTTTACTCTTTACAATACCAAGATACTACAATATTTATAATCACTGTTCACATTCTCATTTATATATTACAATATTAATAATATAATTATAGTACTAAGTCTTTGCAGCTATGCTGCTCTCCTTTGATCCAGTGAAAATTGCATGGAATTATGTGTCATAACTTGAATCAATGATGATGATTGATTAGCTTTAGGCTAATTGTGAGGCATGTTAGGTCTTTATTGTGTTTTAATGAGGTAACGACCTCTGTGAGAGCTCCTGTAATGATGTACAGGGTATTGAACAGGCTTGTGAATGAGTTGTGTTTTCCCTGTGGGCTTCAGGTTTGCTGGAAACATGGAGCGGCAGCAGGCCGACAACCTGCTCAAGTCTCACAGCAGTGGCACCTATCTGATCCGAGAGAGAACAGCAGAGGCTGAGAGATTCGCAATCAGCATCAAGTGAGTATTACATGTATTCATGTCCACAACAAAACATTCTGTCCGTCTTCTTTTAGTATTTTGTCAGTCATTAGATATTTTCCATCCACCTATTTTTAAAAAAAATCGCTGGATGGAAACGCCAATAAACACATGAAAAAAAGTATGTGCTCAATTGAGGCGGATATTTTTTTTGTATCCAATAAGAAGAACACATGCACGTAAACTACAATAAAAACACACTTACCAAATAAATCCCTCAATGCACAACAAATGTCCCTCAATGCACTTTGCCTCATCAGTGGTTGTGAGTGGATAACTGGACTAACCAGTGGACCAATTTCATTGCACATCATCTTTAATGTTGGTTTGATCATTCTGAAATGCCTGAGCCGAAGTCTGTCATAAAAATTGATTTGGTTTAATTCCCTCCCAGAAGCGTCTCACATGATGTCCAAACACCAGGAATCTGAACGCCAGATAACATTAAAGCGTTTATTGGGTTTTGCCTGCATGCTCTAAAACACAAGTCATTTATGATGTAGGAAAAAAGAGCCACAGTGGATTCCCTGATTGCAGCAACTTCCATTTTTATTACATACAATGTATTTTGTGCCAATTTCCAAGGAGTGATGATTTTGTTCTCTTGAACACATGGGATGGAAAGAGTGCATTATTCACAAAAGTTTTATATGATATTCCAATTCTGCACAAGTTAAATATACTGTAGTATGATATGTAATATTACTGGGAAACGTTCTGTGAGTCTGGTGAATGATGGGAACATTTCTCTCCTTTTAACAGGTTTAATGATGAAGTGAAGCATATTAAAGTTATTGAGAAAGACAACTGGATTCACATTACAGAGGCAAAGAAGTTTGAAAGCCTTCTGGTAAGAGAAATGTCTTGCATTTTTATAATGCTTGTATGGTGAAGACTGCATTGAAAAACTTTTTCTGCAGTTTTACACAATTAATTCACACAAAGCACTTAACATACAGATTTCAGTCCAGGTTTTACTTTAGATATTTTCATTTCATGTCTATACTTGTACACACTAACATTCAAACATTTAAGGGTAAATACGATTTATTTTAACAAGAAGAGAAGAAAATTTCAGCATGGACATTTATTTGATCAGAAATTACAGACATATAGTGTTACAAAATATTTCTATTTCAAATAAATGCAGTTCTTACTTTCTATTCATCCAAAAATATACTATATATATGTTATGTTATTTTATGTTATTTTATTTTACAGTTAGTAATGATATTCCACAATATTACTGTTTATTTTTTTATAGCCTTATGTTGCACGGCTGCCAAAAAAAAAAAACAAGATGTGTGATGCTAATTGGCTCTAGTTTATTTACATAGAACCAAAGCCTAATCTAAGCCTACCTAAGTCTTTAAAAAAAAAAATCCCTTGCAACTATTTGTATTTCTTCTGGAAATGCAGTTCTAGTTTCTCAGCTTCTTTTCTGAAACTTCTGTAAGTAGCTTTCTACTTTAAGTAACTACACTTTATGTTTCTTTGTTACAGGAGCTTGTGGAGTATTATCAGATTCATTCACTGAAAGAGAGCTTTAAGCTGTTGGACACAACATTACGGTACCCTTACAAATCCCGGGAACGCTCAAGCTCTCGCGCCAATACCCGCTCACCAGGTAAACGTTCGGTCCCATAAGTCTTTTTATCTCTCTTTGTTCTTCTCCCTTACTCCCTTCTTTTTTATTTTTTCTCTTCTGCTTTTTTGCTTTCTCTGTCCCAAATTTATTATTGAGCCCCCACCAGTCTGGCCAGCAGCCTTCCGCAATCTTTGGACACACTCTGGAAGTCTGAACAAACAAACCCTGCCAGCTGGTCCCGCCCTCACATTCTGTATGCTCCGCCTTCTGGTATTTCAACTGTCAGTCATCTTAGGCTTGGTTGTAAAGGAGCCGCCCACTCTGGCTGAGCTGAATAGGTTCTAATAAACAGATGCTTCATTGGATGCATTATAAGTTATGCACCTTTGTTCTCCTTCCAGCCAAGCTTAACTGGTATTCACTGATATTTATGCTAGTGCGTAAAGACAGTGCCTGTTTCTGAGAATGTGGAAGCTGCCTAAAGGAATCATTCACCTAAAAATGAATTTTTTTTTCATTCACTCGCCCTCATTTTGTTTCAAACCTCAATGACTTCCTTCCATGGAATAGAAAAGGACAGAATGTTCACTGTGTTCTTTTCCGTACAGTGAATAGTGAATACAGTGAAGTGGTATTTCCCCATTAAGGCTGCAATTATTTGATCAAAAAATGGTAAAACAGTATTATTGTGAAATATTATTACAATTTACTCTTTTAATATATTTTAAAATGTAATTTATTACATTATTCTTAATTTAGTCATTTATTCCTCTGAATTTGCAGCATCATTTCTCCAGTCTTCAGTCACATGAGGCATCAAAAATCATTATAAAATGCTAAGTTGTTGCTCAAGAAAAAAATATTTTTAGTATCAACTGCCTAATATATTTGTGGAAACCATCATACATTTTTTTTTTGTACCAATTTAAAAGTCTTATAAATGTATTATTGCTAAATAAAGGTATCAAATCAATATCTTTCAAAAAATTATAATGACTCCAAGCTTTTAAAAGGTTGTGTATATAGATGAAGAAATTAGAAATATGAATTATGTCGGAGTAACTGATTTTTGGGTCATCTGCGTCTGTAAGAATTCTAGCTACTTTTTTCCACATGCATGCAAACATGCACACACCTTACTGAATCTGTTACTCGGTCTTAGTTTGGTAAGGAAACCATGTCCTTGAACTTTCTTTACCCTGTTGTGATGTGCAACTCTGCTGTGCCTTCCTCATTTATTTTTTTGCGCTCTCTCTCTCTCTCTTTCCCTTACCTATTCTGTCTCAGCAGCCACCTGTGCTTCCTACAACTTCTCCTTCCTCAGTCCTCAGGGCCTCAATTTCTCCTCTCAAAGCTCTGCTCCCTTCTGGTCAGGTACTGCGCTTTTTGCTTATGCTTTTGCGTCATCCATGCCACCTCCCCCAATTCCTCTTCAATTTCATTTGCTTATCCGCATCTCTCCCCTGGTTGTGTTTTCTGCATCCTCTTGTTAGGGCTTCAGAAATGTATCAAATTCTTGTAATAACACCACATTCATTTACATCTCCCTCGCAATGTCAAATTGTCCACTCATCTGTTGTATAAGCATTTAGTGGCACTCTTCATCATTTGACATGCACTAATCTCCGGATGTTGTTGGCGGCCTTGTACAGTATTCACACCCAGGGTAGTTAGCACAGCTGTGGCGCGATACAACTTTGCCGCTCGAGACATGAGAGAGCTGTCCCTGCGAGAAGGGGACATCGTCAAGATCTACAGCAAGATTGGTGGAGACCAAGGCTGGTGGAAAGGAGAGGCCAATGGCAGGGTAATAAAGCAAGCAAATGTTATGAGCAAATGAAAAAAGCAACTTTTATGATAGAAAATAGTGTATTGTTTGTAAAACGTCCAATTGGAATAGATTGGCCGATCATATTAGAAGACCTGAAAAACTGTTGTATAATGAAAAACTGAGCAAAATTTGAAATTTTATTCTCATTGTGCAAGTCTGAGGTTGTATATTCTCAGATTCTGTCTCTGTTTTCCATTCAGATTGGATGGTTCCCCTCCACGTACGTCGACGAGGAAGGGGTGCAGTGAAACTTTGGAGTCACAAATCGTCCAATTGCATTCTGATCTGCAGCCCTCTTAGAGGACTCTTTGGTTTCCAAGGCAAGACCTAATGGAAGTCTTTTTGCTGGAAACATATTTTACAATGAATATTTGTACTTCTGTTTCTTTTCATCATGTACGAATATGCTTTTACCCTTTCTCGGAATTTCTGTGTGATCTCTGTGAAGAAAACTGCTCGGAGTCTGTTCGTTCTCAGTGTCGGGAGTAGGAAACTGTGAACAGAACAGAACTTAAAGTGGCCAAAGGACAAGCATGGCTTCAAACTTGTACAGTAATACCTATTACGTGCGCTGACGGCCACATGGGTATAATGGGGGGTGGGGACATATAAATAAATATATATAAATATATATATAATTTATTAAAGAGATATATCTATGATTAGAATGCAACGCTGAACATTTGTTCAACAGCACCAATGCAAAGAATATAGAAGAGCAGAGCAGATGCACTTTGCATTTCTTTACACAGAGAATTTGCCTTAGAAATGGTAATGCCTTTAGATGTGGAAGTAAAGAGATGGATTCAGACTCATATTGCACATACAAATTCGTACATCTACCCTTGTCCAAAAAGATGGTGCCTTTTTATACATATCTTCACTCCCAACAGAGTCTGGTTTAGATACAGTAGCTGCAGCATTAACGCCCTGTTCTGTAGTGGTGCTCTCTTCCGACCCCATCCACCCATTCAGCTGGACTCTGCTCAACCAGAAGACCATAAAAGAGACTCAATATTTCTTGGGCTGAAATGAGCTTGTCAGATCTGCTCATCATCTCACTGGCACAAGGGGAAGCTAACCGAAAGCATTCAGTCGTGGCTGGAATTGCTTTTACAGTGAAAAATACAACCACCTTCATGTCTTCCTCTTCCTTCAAGAGTATGGCAAAAGTGCAATGGAGTATCAGGAAGAGGTTCCTTAAACACTGTTAGCTGTGATTAGCATTTATTTCCATGTTCTTAGTGGTCCAGATTTGGACTGAAAAGGGAAAATGTAATGCTGTTCGGTGCACTGATTTTCATGAATACCCAGAGGTTTTTGTGATTTTTTTTTTTTTTTTTTTGGCCTTCTACAAGCACATACATATTGCCATTTCACGTTTCTCGTCTGCAGCCTGCCGCATTACAGTATCTTGCCTTACTGGTGGACACTTGGTGCTACAGTCCCACATATTGAAATCCCTGAGTTGGGGCAGAGTTTTCTTTTTTGCTGTTGTTGTGAACGAGGAGACCCACTGCTGAAGAACCTCAGCCATCAAGTGCACTTTATCTGTCCAGAGACCTTTTAACACAGGACACCACACTGCAGACCAGGACATTAAAGTTTCATATTATTTAATTAAAAAAAAAAATACTTGTCCTTATTTTTACCTCTGGAGGGGGAAAAGAGAGTATAAAATCCTTGACACTATGATCAGTGCTCCCTCAAAGTCTGATATTGAACATACTATAAACTCCGTGAGTGCATGGATGTGTCCCTCAAACAGTCCTTGGAGAAAAACCTTTTGCTGTTGCCGGCCATCATACATCGAACCTGTAAATTGAGGTGGGAGAGTGCTGGACTCTAATAAAGCATCGGACATTTTAGCCATGCTCCAGGCTTGAATACAGCTGTCTGCAGTGATGGAAGAGTGCAGCTCATGTCAAGGTAGCACTGGCTTAGGGGCTTAGTACCTGTTTGTGTGTAGTGGACAAAAAAACCATTGCATGTGGTCATAGATATTACAACTGCTGTCTGTGGATCCTGAAAAAATGATTAAAAAAAATTGTGTACATTTTTTTTTGAATGGTCAGTTTTTTGGAAACTGAGTTCTATAATGAAATAAATATTTCTTTTTTGCCTATTTGTGGTGTCCTCATTGTTATGATGGATGGATGGTCGTGGTCGTGTGTAGATAGTGATGCAAGACTGCTCACTCCCAACAGTACATTCTCTGATGAATGTGTTTAGGATCGCCACTAGGGGGAGCCAACTTACTAGCCTTTTCCATGACATTGAAAGCACTTGGCATGATTTTGAGTCTGTGAAAGAGTCATGATCATATGCCATGGTTACAGCTGTTCATGCCATTTTTCACACAGCAACTATTGACAGAGCTCCCTTTTTGCTTATTTTTTATAAAATAGCAGTCAAGTTGTCAGTGTTTGTGTCAAACAAGTTGTAAATTTGTTGTATCATTAAAACAGGAGATAATGACTTACAGTGGTTTCCTTTGCGGGTGAACCAAACTTTTGGAAAATGTTGGTGCAGAATTATGTGAACAATTCCAGAGCATAAGAAATGCTTCTTTTATTGGTTGTTGCCTTAAATCTTACCCAGATACAATAGTGTTATTTTCTGATTGGCTAATTGTGTAGCCCTTTCCCATTTTTTTTTTTTTTTTTTTTTTTTTTTTTTTTTTTTTTTTTTGATTGGCTGATAAGTGGCAGGCTCGATAAAGAGCAGAGACGCGCTCATACACTGATTTCACGCAGCTGCCATTTTGAAATCGAAAGCGAGGTTCCGGTGGGAAGAATCCCGGAAGTAGCCTACAGATATACCCCTTTTCCACTAAGGCAGAGCTGGTGCTGGTTCGGAGCCAGAGCCTAGTTTCAAATCGGTTCTCTGTTTTTCGACCCCCAAAGCACCAACTCCGAACCAGTAAAAGTGGTTCTTAAGTAGCACCAAATCATTGCTAGTACCGTTTTCGTCAGTGCAGTTGCTGGACAAGACACATGTCAGACTACACGTTACTTCCTGACCAGTCATCGCATGCCGTGTTTAACGGCGCGCGTGATGTCATCGAGAAGGCAAAATTCGTAGCGAGTGAGTTCCTGGATTGCTCGGCATTGCCTTTTCAGCGTGAGAAATACACATTTTTGTCGGGATGTCGAGAAGCATCGCAGACGCGACGCAGGTTGTCGCCCACTATGACACACTATATGAGATGATGCGATCGAATCTTGCGTCCCGACGCCCGTTGTTGTTTACGAATCCAAACAACACCCTACGTCAAACGGATCGTGCCAAAATCGGGCTAAAATCGTGTAATCTGAACCAGGCATAAGACACAGAAAGAAATTTCTGAACAAATAGGCTGTTCCCAGAGTGCTGTATCAAGGCACCTCAGTGGGAAGTCTGTGGGAAGGAAAAGGTGTGGCAAAAAACGCTGTACAACGAGAAGAGGTGACCAGACCCTGAGGAAGATTGTGGAGAAGGACCGATTCCAGACCTTGGGGGACCTGCGGAAGCAGTGGACTGAGTCTGGAGTAGAAACATCCAGAGCCACCATGCACAGGCGTGTGCAGGAAATGGGCTACAGGTGCCGCATTCCCCAGGTCAAACCACTTTTGAACCAGAAACAGTGGCAGAAGCGCCTGACCTGGGCTACAGAGATGCAGCACTGGACTGTTGCTCAGTGGTCCAAAGTACTTTTTTCGGATGAAAGCAAATTTTGCATGTCATTCGGAAAATCACGGTGCCAGAGTCTGGTGGAAGACTGGGGAGAAGGAAATGCCAAAATGCCTTAAGTCCAGTGCTGCTTCTCTGTATGCAGTATACAGTACAGTATACAGTATGAGAAGGTAACAGCTCAGTAAGGGCGTCGCCACAAGATGGCAGCCTACACAGAACGCTCGTCGGATTCGTCTATACACGCATCCTCGCTTTGGACTAGCGGCAAACTAGACGCCATAGATGCGAATTTGGCACTCTATGGGCTCTATGCACGGCGTTATTTCCGGTGAAGGATTAAGGATGCTCGATAACTTCCGCCGATCAGAGTCCAATGCAATACCGAGAATTTATATTGAATTTTATACTCCATGGTTATACTAATGAAACGTTAGTCACAAAAACAGATAAAACAGACACCCCTCGTTGTGTTTATGCTTCTTTTTAAAATTATATTAAATAAACATAACTATATATAAAATTACATCTAAACGTATGTACGTTTCGTTTCAAAGACGGGAGGACAGTAAATATTGAAGACTCTGCCATAATCCAGTTTTCTCCGGTTTTCCTCCGCTTTAATCTACACAACCGGAAATGGACGAGCATCCTTACGTCAAATGCGGAACTTATGCGTGCATATAGCCCATTCACGTTTGGTGTGACCGCGTAAAAAAACAGGCTGCTAATAGCAGCCCACGTGCGCGCACACGTTTGCTCAAGGAGTGGAAGAGACAAGGAAACTAGGAATTATCATAATTATGGCAGAGAAAGAGCAGTCAAAATTCCCAGTTACCTGCGTATACAGTCAGCTAAGGAAAATCAGGCAAAAAAGGAAGACAGCCTCTGCATGTTTCAGAAGGGAATGATTCAGATTTCTCATGCCACAGCACTAGAAGACAGACGGGTCGCTCACGTCACATCTACGTCGTCAAGTTCTTTTTGAGTCTGCGCGTCAGGGACGGAAGTGCTAAAAAATCGCCAAAAACGGGCTTCAATCGTCTCAATGGAGTTCCAATGAGATCGCTCTGTCCACTTCTTATACTGTCTATGGAAAAGTGATGCCAACAGTGCTTTCGTGGAAGCTCTTACATGTTAAACACCCTATAGCCTATGTTATGAATCTTACACGGAATGACCTTCATCACAGTGTAACTGATGGTAACAGGAAAACGTGTACCAATGCAATCTGTTTTTAGTTTTGCTGTTTTTAATTTTTATGTTACTAGCTCGTTACCGAATCAAACTCAATATATTTTAAACTTTACCATTACCAGTATTGATATGCTAGCTTGATGGTGAGTAATACCATGTTTGTTGTTTATATTAATAATGATAAAGTTAGGCATTTTATTACATGTGATTCTGACATGATGTCACCATGCACTACTCCTCTCCGCGGTGCTGGTAAACGCGTCCTCCAGCTGAGCGCGGTCGACAACGCGCGTGTTTTGGGGGCGTGGCTTTGTAAGGATTCCAGACAGAAGGGGGTGGGAGTAAATGAAATAATGAGCTGTGTTTATTTTATGCACATACAGGACTAAAAACACTCGATTTTAATTTTTTTTTTTTTTACAGTTTAAACAAATTTGGGAAAAGTTTTTTTTGTTTTGTTTTTTTTTTTAAGAAAATGTCTACCTACCCCACCTTTAAAGGGACTTTCATTTACAAGCTTGGCCAGAATCAAACTCCCATGGATGTGCACAAAAGTTATATTGAACTAAAGCACTAACATAACTAATCTAATGGAAAGTGAATGAATGAAACCAAAAAGTGAAACGCAGAAATGAAGAGAGAGATGTTTATCGGTTTCTTATTTCAAATCACCTTGTTAACAAAAGGTCTACAGCTTATATATAGGCTGCTTAAACTTCTATTCGGTTAGTTAAGCGTAAACGTCCATTAAAGAGGTAAAAGAGAGGTTCACAAAAAGTAGCTTTATTCAGTCTGTCTTTAAGCCCTATTCTATTAAATGAATGTCTCAGGATTAGCCTATGTCAAGGCAGTCATTTTAATTAATGACTGATTTTTATTGATCTATCTTATCACCGTGCTCAGTCTCCCAATCGTTTTGGCCGCATATCTTCCTGCGTCCTCGCCTGTGTGTGTTATTTACACGCGTCACTGGAGCCAGTGGGGATCGTCTCATTCTGCTGCTGCTGTCTCACACACGCATGGACCATCATACCCAATGCTGAAGACCTCTAAAGCCATGTCAACATCGCGCTCGCATTTGTCGGGTAAGTGTAAAAAAGTGCTTATTTGAACATTACGTTAAAGTGAACTGAGAATGTTTCGGGTTGCTACATTATTTTGACAAGCTTTTTTGTTTAATGTTTTTGCATATTATTTTCTGATTATTTCTATAGTAGTAGGTTAACTGTCGATAGATTACTCATTACAGGTAATGTTTTTATGCAATCGATTTACACAACACGTAAAAAGTAGGCTAAGTAACCGACATGCGTTACTAATAACGGGGAAAATCCATTCAGTCCGTGGCACTGTTTTAAAAACCAGTGAGAGCTGTCTGGTACATTCACAGAGCAGAGGACACGTTCTGTGTGCGCTTTTATTAAATCGGTTAGCTATTTATTTGTCTATACCGGTCTACAGACGCTTCTCGCCGTTATCACTCGCTCGCTCCAAGCGTGCCGTTGAAAGTCGTTCAAGTTTCAAAAACGAGTCATGAGATGCGGTCAGTTCCAGGTTACGCCATGTATGCCTAGCTGAGTTTAACCGAAGGACACGTCCTGAATGTTCTCAGATAAATTTGAGCATCATAGGCACACCCCAAAATTCCGTCTAAATAAATTAGATAACATTATTTAGTCCCTCTGTCAGGTTATTATAAACCGGTATCGTATGACTTAACTTTCCGATGAACGCAAAAATAGCAATATTTTGAATAGGGTGGCGTCTTGATGTAGCCTACAGTGCATGGACCAATAATAATAATAATAATAGCTTTTTGTGTGTGTATTCCACAAATAAGTCACACTTATTGCCAACATTATTGACAGTATTCTTACTGAGTCATGTTATGAATATAAAAGAAATACTTCATTCGTAGAACTCCCCCGAGGGTAGGCTTGGGAGTATTCATAAGATTAATAGTATTTTCTTCTTTCAACAGCGCCAGTTAAATATATAAATATGTCAGCAAAACAATTAACAATTTAATACAAATAAATAATATAATTCCTGATCATGTTTTAATGATCTTTGTCTTCATGGTAATGACATAAAAGCCGTTTAATATGGAAAACAAGACGTTGTCACAGTAATGGGCCTTTATACATTAAAACTTATTGTTTTCTTCATATTTTAGGAAGCAAATAGTCATATTTTTGGGGTCTTTGGTGTTAATTATTTGGCTATATAGGCTATTATTTACTTTATATTATTCTT